CGCTTTCGGTTTTTCTGGACGCGGAAGCTCTTTAGCCTGCGCTGGAACCCGCTGGGACACGCTTCGCCGAGGGAGGTATGGGCGTGGGTGGGTGTACTGCGAGGAGCAGCCTTGTCTCCCATATCCCATGTCCAGCTGCAAATTATTGCAAAATCTGAACGCAAGAAAGAAACCCACTTGCCGCCCCCGCCAACAGGAAGGCGGGTGAGGGCCTCTCTCGGCTTTCCCGCCCCACTTTTCCCACTCTCCCGCCCGGCCCCCCGGGTCCTCCGCCGCCCCGACGTGGCCCAGAAGCCGAAAGTGAGACACCCATGTCGGTCGGCTGGAATTCCGTGAGGAGCAACTCAGGAGCGCAACGGAGTCTGGCAGCACCCATGTTGGGAGGACGTCGAGGCAGAAGCACCTCCAGGATCCCCATGGCTGGCGGGGCGCGGCCCTGCCTCCTTGACCAGGACGCCCCTTTAGAGCGCGGGCGTCAGCTCCTTACCCACCCCCATCAGTCTTTTGACCCTTTTGCAAAAAGCGTAGCGACCCCGACCCGTCCTCTATCCCAGCCCCGAGGTGAGTCCGCCACCTCTGGACAGAAATCAAAGGGGACGGGGTCATGTCCTGGTGCTTTTTGTCAGCCGGGTGGATGGCGCGCGCCCGGGGCAGCACCGGGGAGCCCGAGGAAGAGCCTTGTTTGTGGCGCTTTCGGGGCTTTCTGGATGCTGAAGCCCTTCGGCCGATTCCTTCTTGAGGATTCTCGGGAAGCAGGTGTGTGATGGATTACTACTCGTGGTTACAGGGAACAAAGCACCAGGGAAGGAGGTGGCCTTACTACACTCCCATCGCGTTTGACAACGTAGGGGTAGAGAGGTGGCTTAGGCTGTGAGTGTCCTGAGAGTGCAAAAGTTGTTAATCTAATTGGAGTCACTTGTGTTAAAAAAAAACAGAACAAAAAAACCCGGACAGAGTCCGAGAAAACCATGACAAGAGGGTTCTCATGCATAAATATCTGATAATGAAAACTATCACAAAGATTCTGCAAAAACCCCAACCTTGCACAAAACATACTTTTGAATGGCCATCTGCCCAGCAACTTTCCTGTCCAACGTTGAACTGGTCACCCTTGTTACTAATTCTTCTACCTAAGGATAATTATCTCAAAACAATTATGTAATCCTATTTTTTCCCTTAAAGCCTTTCTTTCTTTACCTCCCTGAATACCCATATAGTTTACTATGGCATGGATACTACCTTTGCAATGCCCTTTGCCCAAATAGATACTATTTTCTTTGAGAGCGCCTCTCGTATTTAGGCTGACAAAGGCAAGGACCATATCTTAAGTCCTGGGCCTGGATGAAGGCAGAGTGGCCTACACGCTCCAGCCAGCTGCAGCCCCATTGGAAGCAGGCCTCACCTCTGAGGTTTCAGGTCCTTGTGGTCAGCCCCTGCCCTATGCACATCCTCTGACGCAGGAGTTTCAACCTTAGTCTGTGTGCCTAGGCCCGAGGACCCTCACCAAAGCCCTTTGGCTTCTATTGGGAGCCTCCGCAGCCTGGGAGGTGCATGTCACCCCAGGGTGCCCAAGGAGTTTCTCTGCCTCTTGCTGGACAGAGCAGCAAATAGGAGCCCAGAAATAGGGAGAACGGAAGTAAGCTCCATCCTCCCTGCCCGGGAACTGCCCCAGACCCCCTCTAGAGGTTCGCGGGCCGTCAGCTAAGTGGGGATTGCAGATGCAGAATCAGATGGACCACCCCATCCTCCCTCATTGGTCTTCTCCCTTTTTTTTTTTTTTTTGAGACGGAGTCTTGCTCTGTTGCCAGGCTGGAGTGCAGTGGCGATCTCAGCTCACTGCAACCTCTGCCTCCCGGGTTCAAGTGATTCTCCTGCCTCAGCCTCCCGAGTAGCTGGGATTACCGGCAGGCACCACTGTGCCCAGCTAATTTTTGTATTTTTAGCAGAGACGGCGTTTCACCATGTTGGCCAGGACAGTCTCAATATCTTGACCTCATGATCCACCTGCCTCAGCCTCCCAAAGTGCTGGGATTATAGGCATGAGCCACCATGCCCCGCCAGTCTTCTCCCTTCTTAAGGCCTCAGGGAGGGGCTCTCCTTCTTGGGGTAGAATTCCCAGCCCTTGGTAGGTTTTACCTCTGCCCAGTCTCTGGCACACAGTAGATACTCAATAAATATTTAGTGAAGGAATTCTGCCCAGAGATGATTGCTATTCTGCCTAGGAGCAGGTGAGATCA